ATCCAATGACAAGTTTCACATCACCCACAGGGATGTGATGCTGTTCATGATCCAAGTGTCACTTCTCCCAAAGGACAGGACACAAAATGGCATATCTTGGTAGACAATCTTTGCAACACCAAATAGAGCCTCATTCAAATTAACAACCCTCAAAACAAGATGTGTTTAGCCCATGCCATCGTGGTGGGACGAAAATGTATGCTGACAAGAACGACACAGCAGAATGGAAAAAAGCCGGAAAAATTAGTCAACGATCAGAAGGAGAGAAACAACAAAGATAGGCTATCAAGCGGGGCTAGCTAAAGACATGCCCAGTGGCACTCCTGAAATGCAAAAGTTGCAAGTCGTTTTGGCTCCGTGTTATATCTGGAAAGTACACCCTCAAGAAGTGTGCTGACCTCTTTTGTTTCAAGGCAAATATTTCAAAGACAGAAAATACATTCACAGATGTTATCATAATGAATATTACCAATATCACTGAATTCCTGTCATACAGTTATTACTGTGAGAAATGTGACTATGGCTGTAACAATCGAGAGCAACATAAACGTCACATATAGAAATGCTCAGGATGTTTAGCCTCTGAGCCTTGTCTGATCAAAAGACAAGAACGAACACATTGCCCAGTTTGTCAGTGCACTTTTGTCAGTCCATTCTGTTACCAACAACATTTGAAGATGCAAGGTTTAAAAAGAAATGTGCTTGTCAACTCATGAGATTGTGCCTTACTTGTGGACAAGGCATACATACCAATAGTGCAAGATTCACGACTGTTAAGAAAAGAAGCCATGTCACATTTGTCATATTTGTCAACAAATCGTGAACTTGGAACATGAATGCTACATTCAAAAATACCATTCTAAACATGAAGAAGAAGATGACCAGAAGAAAGGCAATTTCATCTTTTTTGATTTTGAATGCAATCACATTCTTAATTTCTATGTGGCTCACCGAGCGTGTGAGAAGTGCATCCAAGAGCCTGTCTTTACTCATTATCCTTACTGTTGCAAGATGCCTGGAGGATGTGAAAAAATCTTTAGGGGTTCCTAACACACAAGTTACAACAGAGAAGGACAAAAAACCATCAGAAGATATTCAGTATATGGTTGGGCCTTGGAAAATCCCAAGATTATGTACAAGTTTGATGGGTGCTAATTTCACGGATGTCCTATCTGCTACCTTCAGTGTAACAGTAAAAATCAGTTTTTACAATGGACCTTGGAAGAGTTGTACCAGGGACGATTAAAGTTAGAACAGCAAGGATACCAGGTGGTAGTAATGTGGTAAAATGAGTATGATCACCATTTGAAAAATGATCTCGAGTTTAAGCGGATCATGGAAAGTTACAAACTAGTGGACACTCTGAATCTAAGAGGCAGATTGTACAGAAGACGTATGAATGCCAACTGTTTGCTGTACTTAGTCTATGAGAAGAAAGGAGAAGAAATCAGATACTTTGACGTATGTTCTTTGTATCCATATGTGTGCAAATATTGTCACTTTCCAGCAAGGCACACACGATTGCTGACGAAACATATTGACGTGGACAACATTAGACAATATGAAGGATTGATCAAGTTCCAAGTCTTGCCTCCCACGTACTTGAACTATCCCATTTTACCACATCATTGCCAAGGAAAACTGATGTTTCACTTGTGCCAAAACATGCAGCCAAGACCAACCTTGTCAGCACACTCAGGAAGAACGTGCCTTGACAGGAACATGGATCAGCATGGAATTGTTTAAAGGTTTGGACCTGGAATGCCAACTGTTAGAAGTGTATGAAATTTACCACTTTCCCAAGACAGAAAAATACCACAAGCGTGACAAGACACAGAAAGGAATTTTTGCAGACTACATGAATGTCTTTTTGAACTGAAATAAGAAGCTAGTGGCTATACTACCTGGTGTCACACTCCCAAAGACCAAAAGAAATTCAAAGAGAAAAACTATGAAGGCATCACTTTAGTCTACATCAAGAAAAAGGAAGGAAGGCAATATTTTGCCAAAGTGATCTTGAATTGTTTTTGGGGTAAAATGGCACAATGACAGTGTTTACCCAGGATGGAGTATTTTTCAGAACCTTCCCCTTACTTTCAGATGATTCATGACAAGACCAAATACATGAAACATGTGGATGTCCTTCTTGTGGACTTGATCTTAGTCAATTATAAAGAAGAACTGGACTTGGTAGAAGCTGACAAATTTAAAAATGGCATCATTGCAGCCTTGTGACAGTCCATACTTAAAATTGTACGAAGCTTTAGAACTGTTAGATTGTGTGCTGTATTTTGACATGGACGGTTACATCTACATTAATTGTATTGGTCAACAACTCCTTAAAATCGAAAGGAGACCATTTAGGAGCCTGGATGGACGAACATTCTAATTTTTGCAAGCGGTGGTCCCCAAAATTATGGCTACCAATACCATGACCCCTAATGAGAAGTGCACACAGAGTGTAAAGAGAAAGGATTGACTCTCAGTTATAGCACCAGTCAAGTGTTAAACTTTTGGCATACCCTCGTTAAATAATAATAATAATAATAATAATAATAGAAGAATCCTTTTAGTCTGGACAGGATGGAATCTTTAAAGTGACCACTTACCAATCAAAAAAGATTGTATGTTTTTTTACATGCACATCAAATGTTCAGTCAATCCTTGCAAAAAGTATCACAAATCAGGTAGCAGAAGTGAGTAGTCTCCCAACCACTTCACTTTACCATAAGGACATGCTGATATTGGTCAGCAGAAATAAAGGGACAATGACCAAGACAAGTGCCAAGAGAGAAACATGAATCCTTTCACACAGCAAGTATCAAGCAAGAGCAAACTCCAGTGTGATTCTGTATCTTGCGATTGCAGAGATGCTGTACACTGTGGCCTCATTGATTCAGTACCACATCATTATGGGAACTTTGCTATCTCTACTACACTTACCATGGAAAGTGATGATGATGGTGTATGTGTGCGAAAGAGAAGGGGTGGGTTTTTTTTCTATCTTCCTTTGTTAGTGAGGATAGTAAATAGGTGTGTGTTTTATGCATGCTCATTTGTTGGTATGGATAGTAGATAGGTGTGTATTTTTTCTTCTATTCCTTAGTTGTGAAGATAGTATATTTGTGTGTTTTATGCTTGCTTGTTTGTTGGTGTGGATAGTATATTTGTGTGTTTTATGCATGCTCATTCATTGTGTGGATAAACAATGGTGTGTGTTTTTCCTTCATTGATATGGATAGTATATTTATGTTTTATGCCTGCTCATTCATTGGTATGGATATTTGTGTGTTTTATGCCTGCTTGTTCATTGGTGTGGATAGTGTATATGGAGGTATATTTTTTCTTCTCTTTCTACATTCGTGTGGATAGTATATTTATGTTTTATGCTTGCTCATTCGTTGGTGTGGATAGTGTATATGGGTGTTTTTTCTTTTCTTCCTTCATTGGTGTGGATAGTGTATCATATCTGAAGTAAGTGTAAGGGATGTTTTCATTCACGTCCTTGCTTAATGTATATAATGTGGAATGTTCATCGATTCTCAGGCAGCCAAGACTTGGTGACCAGACTAAAAGTAGCCAGTTTTGACTGACTTACTTTCTTGATAGTGAAGGAAGGAGAGAAGTTAAGAGGATTTATAAAACTCAAATATGTAAGAATGGGAACTTGAAAACAAATAATTGATGTTATTGAAGTTAGATGTTATTTGGATGACATTATCCAATTAACAGAGTGGCCTTCTGTCAAGAAAGGCTTAGACATTTTAAAGAAAGGAGAAGAGATTATGAAAATGGTAATGGGAGAAAAAGTAAAGAAGATCAAGGAGATTTGGAAAAAAGAGAGGAGAGAGAAGGAAAACCAAAATAAGAAAGAGGTCTTGAAAGACTAAATCAGAACTAGATGAAAATACAGCAAAATTTTAGAGAGATGTGACATTCTGAATGTATACCAGAAGAATAAAAAAAGAAGAAGAAAGGAATTATTGGAAAATTAAGAAGATAGTGAAAAAAATGAAGACAATAGAAGCAAAAAAAAACAACAAAGGCCCTTTTTAGGGCCACTTCATATGCCTCAAGAAGATATTAACTCTTTCTTTCCCTGTATGTGTTTATCTATACCTAGAGTGGTAGCTGCCCATATGTCAGCCACTTGTAACAATATTGCAAGTGTTTAGTACTGTGAGGTCACCTTATCTGTACCATTTCTCTTAATGATAACTCCCATTGTCCCTAAAGTGCCCCCTTATACTTCTTTTAATTTTTAATGGCACATCAGTACAATAATGGCAATATGATGTCATTTGAAAGTAAACTTTTGAACATATTAAACTGAAGAATTGCACAAACTGTAGGAAGGTACACCTTTGCAAATAATTTGTTCAGTTAAGTACTACATGATAAAATATTAAATGTAAGATGTTTATAAAAAAGAGATAAAAACTTTAAAATCTTTAAAAATATATGGTCATATTTTTGTAAACTATATGTAGATATATATTACGTTTCCTCCAAATGTATTGGGAGATGCAAAAAATCATAAAGTTCCTTAATTGAGTGGGAATCATCTGCCTTACAGTACTCTTGTAAAAAGTTTTTACTAGTTTCAAGTTTTTGAAGTTGCACTCAGGCAGCAGACACCATTATGTCCGAACTACTATTTGAGTGATAATGCAAATTCAAGTGATTGAGTTATTAAAGTTTTGTGTCTATGTATACATATCTACCAATTTCAATGGGTATATGTGTGTGTGTGTGCGTGTGCATGTGTGAATTATATTTTTAACATAGTTTTAAAAATTTTTCAGTCACATTACTATGCTGTCTGCAGCATGGCAGTTTGTCATGATGTGCAGCACTGAGACGTCATTTTGCAGACATGTAGAATGATGTCCCACCCAGTCACATTATCCTTACACATGGCCAACATGTCCTAACACTAACCTTTTAATGTTGAGTGCCTTGTGATGCAGCTGTTAGTAAGATTTTTTAAGTCTTTGGTATGACTTGGCCAGGGTTTGAACCTGCCACAATCTGCATCTGAAGCAGACTCTCTGACCACTAGGCCACCAGAGCAGTCTTCTTCTGAGGTCTGTAGCGTTATGGTCATGTGTGACACAATAAAGTGGGTGCTATTATAGAAAGGTAGACAGATGTAGCTTTACGATGATAACAAATAATATGGATGTTTTAGTTGCACTACAAAATACAAAGGGAAAAATGTCACTTTTTGGTCCCAAGTTTTTTCCAGCCAAAATTCACCCAAGGTTGTGATCCGGTTTTGTGTCCAGATTTGAGACGTTTTGGCCTCAGATCTAAGACAGACCAGTCTGAATTGTACACAGACATGTGAACTTTTGCAAATAGTAGGATAAGATGGGCATTTAAAATGAAGAGTCACAGGTCTCGACACAAAAATGATGTGTCCGTTAAGCAAATAAAAAGAACTACAATTTTTAACTTTCAGCTCATGCTCAAGCGAAAGAGCCAATGAAAATTGATGTTTCTAACACAAATAGGCATTAAATAACCAAAAATGTCTTGAAAGTCAATCTGTTAGGATGTATTCAGAAATATCTCCCAAAATTGATTTCAGGTGAAAATGACAAAAACCTCCAGGGGTTAAAGGGTTAATTCACCTAGCTATGTACCACATGCTGCTTTCTTAATTCACCTAGCTGTGTACCACATGCTGCTTTCTTAATTCACCTAGCTATGTACCACATGCTGCTTTCTTAATTCACCTAGCTATGTACCACCTGCTGCTTTCTTAATTCACCTAGCTATGTACCACATGCTGCTTTCTTAATTCACCTAGCTATGTACCACATGCTGCTTTCTTAATTCACCTAGCTATGTACCACATGCTGCTTTCTTGATTCACCTAGCTATGTACCACATGCTGCTTTCTTAATTCACCTAGCTATGTACCACATGCTGCTTTCTTAATTCACCTAGCTATGTACCACATGCTGCTTTCTTAATTCACCTAGCTATGTACCACATGCTGCTTTCTTAATTCACCTAGCTATGTACCACATGCTGCTTTCTTAATTCACCTAGCTATGTACCACATGCTGCTTTCTTAATTCACCTAGCTATGTACCACATGCTGCTTTCTTAATTCACCTAGCTATGTACCACATGCTGCTTTCTTAATTCACCTAGCTATGTACCACATGCTGCTGTCTTAATTCACCTAGCTATGTACCACATGCTGCTTTCTTAATTCACCTAGCTATGTACCACATGCTGCTTTCTTAATTCACCTAGCTATGTACCACATGCTGCTTTCTTAATTCACCTAGCTATGTACCACATGCTGCTTTCTTAATTCACCTAGCTATGTACCACATGCTGCTTCCTTAATTCACCTAGCTATGTACCACATGCTGCTTTCTTAATTCACCTAGCTATGTACCACATGCTGCTTTCTTAATTCACCTAGCTATGTACCACATGCTGCTTTCTTGATTCACCTAGCTATGTACCACATGCTGCTTTCTTAATTCACCTAGCTATGTACCACATGCTGCTTTCTTAATTCACCTAGCTATGTACCACATGCTGCTTTCTTAATTCACCTAGCTATGTACCACATGCTGCTTTCTTAATTCACCTAGCTATGTACCACATGCTGCTTTCTTAATTCACCTAGCTATGTACCACATGCTGCTTCCTTAATTCACCTAGCTATGTACCACATGCTGCTTTCTTAATTCACCTAGCTATGTACCACATGCTGCTTTCTTGATTCACCTAGCTATATACCACATGCTGCTTTCTTAATTCACCTAGCTATGTACCACATGCAGCTTTCTTAATTCACCTAGCTATGTACCACATGCTGCTTAATTCACCTAGCTATGTACCACATGCTGCTTTCTTAATTCACCTAGCTATGTACCACATGCTGCTTTCTTAATTCACCTAGCTATGTACCACATGCTGCTTTCTTAATTCACTTTGCTGTGGGGGCCCTGAGTGGCCAAGTGGTCTAAAGCTCTGTCTGTTACATATCACTGCCATCTCACCTCTGTCTGCCTGAGTTAGAGTCTAGGATTCAGTGAATGTTGATATGTGAGAAAGCTTGCCAGTAGCTTCTCCTGTGCTGAAAAGTAGCATTTGGCCCAACAACAACAATAACAACAACTTAGCTGTGTACCACATGCTGATTTTTTTAATTTATCTAGATGTGTACCACATGCTGATTTCTTATCTTAATTCACCTAGCTGTGTACCACATGCCGATTTATTTTTAATATTATAGTGAATGAATTGTTAGGGTATTTTAGACAGGTCATTGGTTAATAGAGATAACCTTTAAAACAGGATTGATTCTGGGGTCCAGAGTTACAGATCACTGCCATCTCACCTCTGTCTTCGTGGGTTCGAGTCTAGTATTCTTCGAATGTGGATATGTGAGAATGCTTGCCAGTAGCTTCTCGAGAGTCGTGTTTTTTCCGGGATTTCCCGGTTTCTTCCTCCACCATTAATACTGGTTGCCATATATAGCTGAAAAATGCCTTAAGCCCCACAACAACAACAACAGTATTGACTGTGTTTTTGTCTCACAGGACTTTTTATTTATTTTTATACAAGGTAGTTATCTGGTCAAATCCAGTCAGTCTTGATAATTGATAATTGGATTTTAATCTGCATGAATCACTTATTGGCTGTGTAATGAACTTTGTTCATCTGACCTGCAATGTGTAATGAACTTTGTTCATCTGACAAGCTTTTGATGTTGATCAAAATGACCCCATGTTTTTTGTAACCAGGATAAAAACAAAGATCAATATAAATGTCTCATTCCTGGAATCTCTCTCTTCATTTAGCATTGTGGTCATTAAGGTGTAAGACTGTCTGCTTGTAGTTAATAGTTTTTATTTAGTTTTGCTATCCTATGGTGCAGAACCATCTTGTTACCATATTGACCAATGTATGATGTGTACACAGCTATGACCATTGTTATGTGTGTAGCTAAGAGCAGATTTAACCCAGCAGGTCAGACCAAGGTATGATGTACATTGAACTATGATCAATGTTGACCCTTCACAGACCTGCCAATTCATATGATTTTGCTGTAAGTCTTATGGAAATACTCTTTAAAATATGGACTTAGGCATACAAGCAAAAAACTACATAAAAATTTTTGTTGATGAAATATCACCCATGTTTGATATGGATCCAGGTTTCATATTAGAATTAGTGAAGTTAGTCTAACTTTACAGTAGCACCCCAGATGCTTTATCCTGCACCTATTCATTCATGCAAGTATCTGCATGATCAGACTGTTGATTATAGAATTTTTTAAAAATGGCACCCATAAAGCGATGCATGTTTTAGATGAAAAGGAAAATGAGCTTTTAAAAATGTGTTAATAATCAAAACTGAAGAAAAAAAAGAAGTATTCAGATTCTTATGAATAAAAGCTGGAAAGGACACACTTATGTTTATTGGACATCACATGCTAATTTGAGTATGTCTCATGGTGGGAGATATTATTGCCTTCATGTGAAATGGAAAAAGAATTTCCAAGCATTATGTCAAATTGAGAGATAGCAACAAGCCATTGAGTTGCATAGGGTTTGGAACTAAATTTTGTGCAACTGTACTAGTGGTAAATAAAGTCTATGTGTATTTTAAAAACTTTTCAGCTTTGCAATAGCAGTTATTGATATTTTATTAAACTTTACTGAAAACTGGTTAGTCTTACAGAGACAAATGAACTGCTCTACTGAGATGGACTCCTCAGGGTTGCCTTATTTGCCTTCATATCAGACCCATATATGATGTGTACACAGCTATGATCAGTGTTGACTGCATGTCAGACCAACAAATGAGGTATACATAGCTATGATCAGTGTTGACTGCAGGTCAGACCAATAAATGATGTGTACACAGCTATGATCAGTGTTGACTGCAGATCCTACCAATGTATGATGTGTACACAGATATGATCAGTGTTGACTGCAGGTCAGACAAATGTATGATGAGTACAAAGCTGTGATCAGTGTTGACTGCAGATCCTATCAATGTATGAGTAGTACACAGTTGTGATCAATGTTGACTCTGCTGCAGATCAGACCAATGTATGATGTGTACATACCTATGATCATTGTTGACTGCAGAGCAGACCAATATATGATGAATACATAGAAATGATCAGTGTTGACTCTGCAGATCAGACCAATGTACACAGCTATGATCAGTGTTGACTGAAGATCAGACAGTTGTGTGATGTGAATACAGCTATGATAGTGTTGACTGCAGATCAGACAAATGTATGATGAGTACAAAGCTGTGATCATTGTTGACTGCAGATGCTATCAATGTATGAGTAGTACACAGTTATGATCAATGTTGACTCTGCTGCAGATCAGACCAATGTATGATGTGTACATACCTATGATCATTGTTGACTGCAGAGCAGACCAATGTATGATGAGTACATAACTATGACCAGTGTTGACTCTGCAGATCAGACCAATGTATGATGTGTACATACCTATGATCATTGTTGACTGCAGAGCAGATCAATGTATGATGAGTACATAACTATGACCAGTGTTGACTCTGCAGATCAGAATAATGTATGATGTGTACACAGCTATGATCAGTGTTGACTGCAGATCATATCAATGTATGATGAGTACATAGAAATGATCAGTGTTGACTCTGCAGATCAGACCAATGTACACAGCTATGATCAGTGTTGACTGAAGATCAGACCAATCTCTAAAAAGTTTATAGCTGTGATCATTGTTGACTGCAGATCAGACCAATGTACACAATTATGATCAGTGTTGACTGTAGATCAGACCAATGTATGATGTATACACAGCTATGATCAGTGTTGACTCTGCAGATCAGACCAATGTATGATGTGTACACAGTTGTGATCAGTGTTGACACTGCAGATCAGACCAATGAACAATGTATATACAGCTATGATTATTGTTAACCCTGCAGATCAGGTTATGTACTCTTTTTACCTGTTATTTCAAAATTGACGATCTGCATCATTTCTGTTCATTAGACAGTTATATAAATGTTTATTTTTATCTACTCCTGTTG